TAGGATTGAAATTTCTAGCGTAATAAAGAAGCTCCAAAAAAATTAATTAATATAGATTTTTTAAATATATTATACATTTTTAAATAAACTGTATTATTTGTATTACTGTTTTAGAGCAAACTTAATATTATTGTATCAATATTATATAAAAATAAAGTAATCAAATGATAATTTTTAATCTGAGATAATTATTCTTTCAACACAATGGTCCTATAATTTGTCCAATTTCCATAACTGTGTTTTAATTTAATTTTTTTATTTATATCTCTTGTTTTTCCTACAAAGTATAAATTGCGAGACATCCGGTCAAATATTTACATCTCGATCATTTCCAGAATTAGATACAATAGTTTCTCTGCATATAAATAACGCTTTCATACAAAAATGTAATATTCTCTCGAAAAGAAGAATCTGCAATATGATCGACTTATGATATACATATTTCAAGTGAATATGTTACATTCTTGCTGGAGACGGCATATTCGAGATATTTATCAGACAATCATTTACTGGATCTTATATCTTAACATTTGAGCCAAAATCATTATACTTTGTGCGTTGAGTGCTTCTCAAAATGTTTTGAGTTGATCCCAAAACTGTAAAGAGTTGGCTTTCGATAACGCGAAGATATACTAGCTGCAACGATTTTCTGAACAAGGATAAATAGTTTTTATTTTCTCTCTTTTAAAGTTTATTTACTTTTGTACCGCTAATTTTCACATTTAATTTAATTTATGTTTAATTATTATCTAAGTTAAATTATTATATTTATTATTGATAGAGTATTTTGAAATGTGAAAGATTATTTTATATTGTAATAAGAATTACGTGATTACTGCAACTTTTTATACTTACAGCATTTTTGCCATTATTCTATTAGCTATTAAATTACCCGTTATATGAAATATCCGAAGACCTACCGCAGCAGCACGATATTCGAAGGAGAGAGGGGAAGGATAATCCGATTTCCATTCATGAATACGAATGAAATGCTTTATGCAAACGTTACTGCAATGTAAACAGTTGGCACGCAGGATGTATACGAATGATTAATAAATTGATAAAGTTTATAAAATTTAAGTCGTTTAATCGTGACTGTTACATGTTGTATGATTACGATACGATTAAAGAGATAACCAGCATTCCCGCCTTCAGTTACTTTGATAAATTTAATATTAAATTTTTTTTATGAGAGTTGATAGAAAATTATTATTTATTATCATATTTAAATCAAAAAGTTAATAAAAAAATTAATTAATGAATTTATTATCAAACAAATATTGAAAGATATAATTAGATTATAATAGAAAGTAGAAAGAATATTTATCAGAAATATTTGTAATCATAGTTACAAATTTATAAATATATCATTAAAAAAATTATTGAAAAAAATATTGTAATTTGAGAAACTAAAATATCTTTTTCTCTTTTGTTCTAAAGATGTACGACAAATCGTGATTTCACCTCCATACCTCGCAAAAATGGAACGTAATCACTATGCGATATCGAGTAAGCATCAACTTGTACGTTGGACGAGTATACGTCAGTGCACAGTGCTTGGTTAGTACAAAAACAGTTAAACCACCGTATCGTTCCGACTCGTTTCTCGCACCTTTCTCACATGTGCAATCAATCTTATATCCTTTCCTCCGGGATTCCTGCTCACGTCGCTAGAGAGTTAAGGATGACCTTTTCCTCTAACATTATACTCATTCTAAAGCTCATTACGCATATTGTGCGCGTTATTTCAAAATATTAACGTATTCTGATTTTGTTTTTCAAATAAATGTTAGATCCATCACAATGACATAAAATTATTAAAATGAAAATAACCCTTCTGTCTACGAGACAGAAATATTAAATATACGTGGGCAGGAGTGTACTATTTCAGAAACATTGATATTTTTAGCATTCAAAAAATATTTAAAAAAATATTTTTGTTACATATCTACATTTATCATTTAGCAATGTTAACAAAGCGTTCATAAAATATATAAATTATTGTTATTAATTTACTGATATAATTTCAAAAATGTATTTCTACTGGTGATAGTATTATAATAATAAATATTAAAATTGATAAAGATCAGCCATTTAACAGTTAGTAATAATTAAAGTTCTCGCCTACGCTCTATATGTATATAAAGTAATTTAGAAATAAATGAATTTAAAGGCTCTTATTAGTAATTTAATAAATAGCAATGAAAATGAAAGCTATAAATTGTGTATTAGAGAAACTATTGAGAACACCTTTTAAGAGCAAATGCGATTAATGAGCTGTATGTTTTTTATCTATGTATAAATCCACAATAGGTTTTGTAAAGCTTATTACAAGTAAATGTGTTTTTATTTTAATGTGTTTCTTAATATACATAATAATTTAGAGAGATTTTTAATTGCCATTTTCGGTGATTTCATTTTATTATAGGCAACTCTTTTAATTCTTTAATTTATCAATAACGTTATGCTTAAATGCACTTTAACGGAGTAAAAGTTGCAATTTGCACTTATTGCAATTGATCAATAAATTAAAAAACTCAAATATTATTAATATATGTCATTACTTTAATCAAAATATGACATAAATATAACATAGAAAATTATGTGCAACAAATTAGTGGAAATATTATCGCACATTATGTAATTATACTGTAATCTTAACATTACAATTAACATTAAGACTGTGTTCTGTATAATATGCATATATATATACATATATATATTTACATATATATATGTACATATATTTACATATTACAGAATACTAAACAGCGAATAACGGCCGAATGTAGCCTAATTTTATAAAAGGCTTTATTGTTACATTATATTGTAATTAAATTGTGTTATGCTTAATTCTATATATAATAAGTTAAATTATTTTCAGTAAACTGTACACATGTGTGTTAGACATCTTGTATGTACATATTAGATCGAAATAATGTGCGTTATATTGCAAACCCGCTATTGTATAGAAACCAACAATAATATAATGATACATTAATAACCATGGCTAATACCAGTGTTAAATCTTAATACTCTAGAAGATTATAAATGACGAGTAGTTAATTGTCGGATATGATAAAGTGACTATTAATCCCTGAAGAAATGGATCTAACATATAGAACGCGTTAATAGTACTGCACATACATTTGAAGATTTCCAATTAAGAATAATTCATATCTTTTAATATATTTTTCAGCACTAATATTTTAAAAAATTAATAATTTTAAATTATTTAAAATTAACTAAAAGTTAATATAGTAATTAATGTTAAGGATTGTAACAAAAAGAATGTGCAAATATATTTTATCAAAAAATAATAAGTTAAATTCTACTGAACTTAAAAACCTGATGTTACATATAAAAAGCAATAAATCGCTCTTAAAGAGTTCAATTAAAATAGCACAAGTGAGCAAAAAAATTTTAGCATGAATGTAAGGAGAGGAGAAATGCGAGAAAATAAGTTAGAAATATCGTACACTATATTTGAGAAAGGCTTAAGCCTCGGCTTAAGCTTCTCGGCACTACGAGGACGAGGAAAATGTCGTTCTCGAGATTACCACTTTCCGATCGAAAAGCTTCTATCCTATGATTGAACAAGGCTGTTATCATTCGTTTTGTTTCGCGACGATAGTGGGATAATTTCGAACAAGATCCGCCATGATAAAGCATATGCAATAGTGCCATCGAAAACTCACCAGTCGGAAACCATAAAGGTTACATGATAGGTGTCTAGTTTAATCAGAATAGATGATAATCATCCTATTGGGATAAAGGGTATTGTATTCATTGTTTGAGGCTTCAATCTTCGTATCGTGTAAGAACAGTTATGTAAATTCAACAATCGTATCTATTTGTATAGTATATATATTTTCTTACAGAACTGAACGATAATTATTTCTAAAGTTAATTTAAACAACAAATATAAAAATGCAATTATATAAATAAGTTTACGTAATAATATATGAATTCGGCTATGTGAAGTTGGCCCCCCCACTATTGCAAATCTAAAAATGACCATGACCATTCGTTTGGTGGTCGTTTGGTGGTGTTTGGTAGTCCATTTCGGACGTTTGGTAGTCAAAGATATAATGAGAAATGTCAAAAAAAGAAGAACGCGCGTGAAGTTAGCCCCCCCATTTTTAAAACTCGGCTTTCCAGAATGCAAATGCAATAATGACCGTAAGCATTCGTTTGGTGGTCGCTTACTGACGTTTGGTAGTCCATTCCCGACGTTTGGTAGTCGAAATTATAACCGGAAATATCAAAAAAAAGATATACGCGCGTGAAGTTAGCCCCCCCATTTCTAAAACTTGGCTTTGCAGACTGCAAATGCAACAATGGCTGTAAGCAATCGTTTGGTGGTCGCTTACTGACGTTTGGTAGTCCATTCCCGATGATTGGTAGTCGAAATTATAGCCGGAAATATCAAAAAAAGGATATATGCGCGTGAAGTTAGCCCCCTCATTTCTAAAACTCGGCTTTGCAGACTGCAAATGCAACAATGGCTGTAAGCAATTCTTGATTGTTTTTGTAGTAGGTGTACATAAATTATATTAGAAACGTTGATATAAGAAAATCAATCATACAAATATAATATATTCAATTTGTGTAATAACTAGAAAAAATATATATAAAAATATATACATAGAAAACAATTGAACGCAGATTATTGCGCGCTTTAAAATGCATGATCGAAAACATCTCTATGATTTTTTTATCGAAATATTTAATTTTTTGTAAAATGTGACAAAAATATTAATATCAAAATATTTATGAGCATTACTATACATAAATAACAAGCGCTTTGATAAAATTCAAATTAAAATTTATGTATAAAAATTGTAATGTAGAGAGCTAACGTGTTTGTAGCAGATGCTCAATTTTAACTTCATGAAGTTTTCTCATAGTATCGATAGCAAAAATAAATCGATAGTGTATAGATTAAATATTTAGTAATTTTAATTTAATTTCTAAACTAAATTTTTGTTTATAACAGTATGGTAAAATTCGCAACTAAATCGCCGTTTGATATGCTCCATAGGACAAAAAGAAAAGCATTTAAGAATTACTCGAATTCATATATTATTACGTAAAATCGCTATTTATATAATTGCATTTTTATATTTGTTGTTTAAATGAACTTTAGAAATAATTATCTTTTTTAGTACAAAAAAGTTTGACAAATCGGATAGTTATGCTTCAAAGGCTTTAAGGTTACGAGTAAATCCCAAGGGTGATGATTTCGGCAATAAAAGTATAAATAACCTGGAAGTACAAAGAAATGAAGACTTTTACAAGAGTAAATTAAAGGTTACTCTGTTCGCTGCAATTTGTTCGTAATTTTCTTTTTAATATATTGTTTTATTATTTTATAATAATTGAATTACCTCCAAAAAGTTTTTTATTAATATTAATGAATTTATTAAAATTGACGATAGGCTTTTTTTTAATATATTATATATTAATAATATTAATAATCGTATTTAATTAATAGTATTAATAACCGTGAAAGCTCTGGCGAAAAGTTTGTACTTTTCGCAAAGTAAGGTTATCCAAGTTCAATATCTCTTCAAAAAATAATCTTTCGCAATCAATTTTTAATTAATTCCCTATTCTCGCACGCGTGAATTAACATTGTAAAATTTAATATGAAAAAATTATTAATACTTTCATTGTAAAAATTTATATTTTCGACAAATTTTTAATAAAACATGTTTGTTTTCTAACAAAGACAAACATGTTTTGACAGGATGTGTCTGTAATAAAAGAAGAAATATATTGAAATTATTTGTTTTTAATATATTTTATATTATGCATATTCCATATTTTTATGTTAAAACGTTTTAATATCATTGACAAATTATTCAAGTCTATTGCATTAACATATGAAATAAATTAATAACGCTGAATTAAAATAATATACTTCTCATTCATTTATATTCTACTGTACTATTATTCATTATCTGAAAGATATCCGATACATGACGCAAATCCGTTGCTGCATATCAAAATATTTTATTTCCGTGGTGAATGGAAAAAAAAGAGAACTTACTGGTGCAAAGGACGAATTTTATAGTTTGCGGGTAATGGTTTACCGTCACGTGGAAGTGTACGCGTTGACGGGCTTAAAAGTTTTAACGACAGCTGAGCAACTGAAAGGCTGCCGAGAAACTCAATAAACTGAATTCCTACAACACATTGTTGTTGTGCTGCGATTTCTACGAAGTGTCACACAGCGCACTTTTGCGTACAATAACTAATAAGAGGCTTTTAAACTTTCGGGTTCAATGACGCTCTGAACGCTTCCAAAAATTTTGAAGATAAAAAACGTTTACATTTGTCGAGAGCGCTTACTATAATGAAAACTAAACAAACTTTGTGTAGTCTGTATTTCGATAATCACGTTATTAACTAACAAGGAAAGGCCACGTTGTATGGGTCACCGATTTAAAGATCTAAAGATTCCCTCTGGTCCGAAACAGATCCAACCTTTAACCTCGATTTTTTCGAGGGGGGGTATCTAGAGAAACGGCGCGACATAGGTCTATTTATTTTCGATGAAGAAAATCAGTATCAAAGCGCATCAAAATCGGTGACCCATACATCCATCGTGACCTCTCCTTGTAAGATAAATCTATGTAACAGAGAGAGAAAAAGGATCTTATATGTTATATGGAGTTTTCTTAACAGCTAATTAACGTAATGAAAAATAAAGAACTATACATCCTAATTTCAATATCCTTTAAAGAATTAATTTTTATCAATTCAATAAAAATTGTTTTATTAGAAAGAATAAATGGCTTAAATAGAATTTACTTTAATTAGAATTATCATTGAAATATTATTTTGCAAGTTGCTCAGTTTGGTTTAATTACGAGTCTATGAATCTTCGAGATTACTATGAATAAATTCAAATAAAATAAAAAATAATTTTTTAATATAAATTGTATAATATAATTAAAAGTATATTTGACTAGAAACACTTCGTACAATCGAGTTGAAAAAATAATATATGTGTATAAATGTATATGTATATATATTTTGTATTTTATAATATAATGTATAATAATAGATTAAAGAAAGTGAATATTGGAGGAATGTGCTCCATAGTCAATGGCTGTTAGCATTACAAGGAATTGTAATAGTGATCGTAATTCTCACTATTTCATGGATTGGACATGAGCATAAAGAAGATATCGTTGATAACAGTCCTGTGACACTCTGGCGTTCAGTTATCGAGCGATTGCAAGAAACCATCACAGACATGAGAATGGAATTACAGTTAAAATAATAGTTATTCCAAAATTTTAATACACTATTTTTAATTTTAATTTACAAAATGGACACTTTTAAATTTTTATTCTGTCTCAATTATTTCATCTATCAAAAAACATTTCTTGCAATATAGTAAATAAATCAGTACAACTCAAAATTAAATTAAATTTATATTATTAATCTTATATTATTATAGACCTTGTTATAATACCGAAGTGGATAATCAACAAAAGAGAAGAGCGAGCATTCTAAAGCGGAGACGCATTTTTATGAATGGATAACTATCGTTTTTTATAAGCATAGGAAGAATTAAATAAATGTCTTTTATTCTTGCACAAATTTAATCAATTTCTTGTAGCTTTCGAATAAAATTTTTTTTATTATAGAAAAAGTTTTTCAAATTTTAAAAATTGTAAAAATATAATGCTAACAGATATACTTTTGTAAGAGAAATATTAGGAACACAGCTTTATTATAATAACATAAATCATACGTTTATAATGTATACATATATAAAATGTTTATCAACAATTTAAATGCCATTCACAAAAAATAGTAATTAGATTATAATTTTCTTAAATTTTCCGCTTTGTTATCTTCATGTTCTTTATGGAAATAATCACAAATAATAGAGCATCACCTTTATTGTTGAGAAATAAATTAATTGATGCTAACAATAAATAATGTTTTGTGGTTACAAAGAGCTGTCATATTATTTGAAATTCTATAGTCCGATACATTAATAAAACATTATTAAAAAAAAATTTTCTAAATATAATTAATACTGGTGACAGGATAAACTTACTCTTGTAATTGAAAAAGTAGAGTTTAATTAAACAATTCCGACAATCAACTTAACTGAATCGGCTTTTATATTGCATGGACTTTAAATTGTGTTTTACATATTTTTTCTCCAATTTTTTAGCCAGTTATGAAACTGTATTATCCGTTTGAAATGTATGAAAAACAAATTTACACAATACTATTCATTTTATATCTCAAATTATAAATTTCTAGCGTCGAATATTTCCAATTAGGAAAAACCAAGCCAATTAAAAGATGCCAAAAAGTGATGCAGCAATTAACAATATATTTGATTATGTAATTTTAATTAAAAAACTAACAGAAAATTGTAAAATATAATGTTAATTTTAATTGTATATTCTACTAATCTAGATGTATATAAATAGTTTGCAGTTAATTATTCAAATTCATAATTCTATCAATTTGAAATATTTTAATTAATGTATAATACAAGCAAATTCAAAAATATAGTAAAGTATTAGTCTTACACATTTTGATGATTACATATTTTGATGATCATTACCTATGCTTTCTATTATACTTTGTACATATAACATCAACCGTTTAACACTAAAAATTCCAATTAAAAATTTTACATCTATAATTGACCTAATACTTAGGCTTTTCTTTATTTTTCAGTTTGCAACTCTTTTTATACATATATAAAGTATTCACTGAAGAAAGGTCAATATATCTGGAAAATATCGGTTATTTTAAGCAAAAATATTCATATAAACGTATATCATATTCCAAACAAAATTGAATGTGCAGTTGCAAAATTACTGTTAAAACAAGAGGCACTATGTATTTTTGTTTTAATTTATTGTGCAATTGACACATTTAAAGAAAAAGTCATCGTTCCAATTATCTTTTCATAGCATAGAACATACATTTATATAAACATTTTTGCTTAATGACCAATATCCTAGAATATTGATCTTTCCTCCTAGAATACTCTGTATACATGGAAATCCAAATATATCTGCATCAACGTAAATAAATTGTTTGTTAAATAAAAGTAAATCAATCATCCGTTAAATTGAATTTATATTTTTAGTGACATGGTGCAGATAAGCTTCATCAAACTTCTACAAAATATATACATATTTAAAATATAAACAAAAGCGATTAATAAATGCTACATAGAAGATAAAATATAGGAACGTTAATAGAAATTAGTAACTTGGCATCACACACTTTTAACGTTATATGAAGTACAGCCCACAGGATTGACGTTTATTTCCATTCGTGTGTTACTTATTTATTACTTCATATTACTTTTACTAACCAGAAAAACTGTGTAAAAGAGAAAACTAGGAACGCGATATTAAAACAAGCAATGCATGCTAAATGCATAAACATGCTAATAAAAAATTCTACGCTGCAATCTGGCTGTCTATGTTGACTTCTTAGCTAGTAAAAAGCTGTATTCAACATTTCTCTAACGTTTTGTTTAACGAGAAAGAAATTTGAGATTTTTTCAGTAAAAAAGTTACATTATAATATTGACATTAGTGTAATTTGATTTTTTTTAAATTTCCATGCACGGTTTTTGAATTCAGAAATGTCGATATCATGTGATTATTCGAGTAGAAAGAGATTTCAAAAGAGAGACATATTGTTATTTTTATTGTTTTGTTTGAAAAACATTACAGAAATGATCATCTGCTTTTTAAAACAAATATTGTTTATTGTCAAGCTAACAAAGAACTCGTTGTTTGTAGGTTGTTTTAAAAAATAAAATTCATATTTTAAAATTTTAAATGCACATAGAACTTTCAATTGAAAATATTATTTTGCTATTATTTATTATTTTATTATATATTTCCTATACTTACATACAAAATCAGACATACAATCAGAAAAAGTTAAATTAATAAAAATCTTATATTAAATCTTTTTAAATGTATATTTTTATTTATATCACGCATTTCATGTGAACTTTCAAAATATAAATTTATGTCAATATTTATATTTACATTTAGGTCAGATCCTTAACCTACGCGTTATTATTTTCTTGTATCACACAAAACATCTCGAGGGAAGAAATCTTGTAAATGTATATGAATTATGTAGATTTATATTAAATTTTGAAAAACATCGATCATACTTCTGTATGCATGTTCACAGTTTAGCTCTCACGCTGTCGCGGATTCCTGGGTTTTGCGTGCATCCAACATTAGCACTGACATGCCAATAAACAAGGTGCATCCAAATCGCGATGCGAAGAAACATGATGCATCGCGCGCTGCCTCATCCGAGAGATTTATAAACGTATGTCGCTATACCGAGGTTATATTCTGAGTCACATGTGACATAATGTCGAAAAATGAGAAAATAAATTATCCCAATGGTAATGACGATCGGGAGGACATTCAGTGGTTTGAAAATTACGAAAAGTGCAGCAAGACCAAACATCTTGAGAGGTTGAAGAACGAGGATATATTAAATTACATTAAGGACGTTGAACAAAATTGTCGCCTCGAGGTGAACAGTGGTGATGAGGATTATGCCGGTACAAAAAAGTCCAGCAATTGCAGCGTAAGGTGTTCAGGTACACGATTTAAATCATTAAAAAAAGTCAAATCTAGAGTAAACAAAAAAAATAAAAATATACCTTTAAAAAGGAAGACAAAACGATCATCCGACCATAATGCCACGGGTACTTGTAATTATTGCTGTTCGGCACGAGAATTTCATTTTCGCAGCAATCCTGATCTTACTGTTCGAGAAAATTCAAAACGAAACCTGAATACTTTCACTAAATCTGTCTGTCAGCGTTCAAATTTATCAAAAAGTTCCTACAAGCATCAAGTAACTTCACCTACATTTCGCGGTTGGTATTCCAGAGAGAATCGTAAGGAGAGGCCAACGTTTAAAAAAATGACTAGCCTCGAAGTCATCAAAAATTGCTCTCAGGACGCTATTCACAATTCCAGAAATAATAAATCGAAAATCGCCGACAGAAAATCTGCAAGAATTCATACATTTAAATCACCGCGCAAGGAAAAACTAGACGACTCAACTTATAAAATTTATCCAAGTATTGCACCTAATGAGAACACGGCAGAAAGAGATTCTCCTTATAATAACCACAAACAGAACAGAGAAATACGGACGAGGAAATTAAATGAAGAAAGTGACATCCACAGCGACTTCGTGAATCAACAACCATGTAATAAAATTTATTCCTGCCGAGATATGGCTTTTCCTTATCAGGCTCCATTACAGAATGGAGACTATAAAAAGTATTATACTTCGAAGTATCCTGAAAGGAGATTCAGACAACCGACTTCTTGGGGTTTGAGTTCGCGATCCAACAGGTTGATGGAGTCAGCGAGACTGCCCGAAAGGAGCTCGTTATTGCAAAGGCAAACTTCGCAATGGGTAAATGAAATAGGACATCCGCTGAAAGCGTTCAACTCCATTATAGGAACATCGATCGATAGAAGTTACCAGCGAGAGACGAAGCGTAAGAACAACACGAATCAACGGCAACGAAAACCGAACGTTTTAGGGGAACGAGAGTCGTGTTATCGCAAGCCTGGCCTCTTAAGAGAATCCGGGAAGCTGTGCCAAGTGGTACACACACGTGAAGATAAGCAACGGCTCGACTGTTCTTGCGAAAACGCCGAGCAAGACGAGACGATGGGCTACTTAAGATACTGTTGCTCAGAAAATGTAAACAATTCCATTCGACCACAACATGAACGTCAACCAAGTACAATGAACAAACGAGCCAATTATACAACAATTCGCAGAACATTATCCGAATCAGTACAATCACAAGATAACGATGAAGGAGAATCCGAGTTGAACTCATCGATGGAAGAAGATTCGCAGAACGAGGAGTATGATAATTATGCATTTGACGTCTTTGACGATGTGAGGAATATTTATGACGATGCAATTGACGTGGAATATTTAAAGCCGCGCGTATCATTTCCGGACGATCAGGTGCGTCGTGGCTCGAACGAAGCGGCACGGGAGTATAAGAAATCGAGCAATGATTTAAAGCGTAACCGAGGAAAATCGACGTGGACGTCGTTACGAAATAAGATTACTACGAGATATCCTACGGGTAAGGAATTCTCTTTTACAACAAGAAAACCTGTGCCGAGGGATTCTTCGAGATTAAAATACAACGCAACAGAATCCACATGCGAATGCAAGGAGCCTTTTCACGATCCTCCAGCGGCGTGTTTAATTGGTTCTTGCAGCTGTATCGGGAATAACGAGAATGCAAAAAGAAACGACAGTGATTCATCGGGCAGGATATCTGATAGGATTTACTACTGCTGTTGCTGTTCCTGCTCGTCATCTACTTCTCACGACGAAAAGAATCCAGTAAAGAAACTCGAATCTTTCTGCGAGAAAGTAAAGGCGGTAAATCAAGACATATTCCATAAATCATCGAAATCCGCCTGTCGCAACCTAACCAGAACCAATGCGCAGGAATACGTTCACGGCGATAGCG